GTGTGTGTGTGTGTGTGTGTGTGTGTCCTCACAACCTGCGTTCTGTGAGCCCACACGCTAGACCAGTGGTTCTCAACCTCGGCTGCACATTAGAATCACCTGGGAATCTTTTTAAAATCCTGATTTCTGGGCCTCATCCTCCGGAAATTCTGTTTCTTTGTGATGGGGTGAGGCCACAACATTAGTAACAAAGAAACAGAATTTCCGGAGGATGAGGCCCAGAAATCAGGATTTTAAAAAGATTCCCAGGTGATTCTAATGTGCAGCCGAGGTTGAGAACCACTGGTCTAGCGTGTGGGCTCACAGAACGCAGGTTGTGAGGACACACACACACACACACACACACACACGTGTGGACTATGACGGGAGTGATAATGGCAGCGTTTCCCATTGGCTGAGCGCCTTTCTTCACGCAAAACCCGTGGGCAGCAGAGCCCCGGCACCTGGGAGTAAACTCGGCTCCGAGCAGCTGGGGGACTTGCCTGAGGCCGGGCAGCTGCTCCGTGGGCCGCCAGCACCAGGCAGGGCCTGTCTGACCTGAAGTCCGTGCTCTCGTCCTCTAAGGGGGGCAGGTCAGCCTGCGGGGGGTGAGGAGCTGGAGCACCCTCCTGGGTCACACGCGTGCCGGGCACTGAGGTCTCAGGAAGAGATCAGACTCGGGGTCAGGACGGGGTCGGCCCCGGCGTGCGTGACAGCCTGCACCGGGGCCTCCGCAGGTTTTGATGGAGAAGGAGCCCAAGGACACGCTGTGCACATCGACCCGCCAGCAGACCATCCACATCATCAGCAGCCTCTGGTAGCCCCCAGCGCACGCGGGGAGGGGCCGGAAGCCAGAGCCCCGCTGGGAGGGGCCAGGGTGGCCAGGGTGGCTGAGGATGGGCACCCCACAGAGACCAGAGCGGCGGGCCCTGGGCACAGAGTAAGCTGACCCCAGACACTCAAGGTCAGAGCTGTCACTCGCACAAGGTCCCAGCCACGGCCGAGTCTAGAGCGGGTTCCAGCCGTTGGAGGAGAAATACAAAGGGAAACAGTCCAGACTCCAGCCAACATCTCAGGGAGGGAGGGAGGGTCCGGGATCCCGGCACAGGGAGAGGTTCTGACTTAGCCGTCCGCCTGCAGCAGGACGAGGGGGCCCTGGCCAGGACAGGGTGTCTGACTAGGACGCGGGGGCTGGGGAGCTCCCCGCTGCGTGCTCTCCAACTGCAGTGGACCCAGCAGGCAGCAGCCAAGCACCCTGCGGGCCCACCCGCACCTGGCAGGTGGCAGGTGGCAGGGAGGTGGGCGGGCCTTCCCCAGAGCGTAGACCAGGCTCAAATCCCAGCGGGGAGATACCTGGCCGCCCTGTAAAAGGTGTCAGGGGCGCAGGGCTTGCCCAGTCCCTGCTCCCAGTCGGGCCGGTGAGTCCCTCACAGCCCCTGTGGGCGTCACCTGCACAGGGACCTGCCACAGGACTCGGGGAAGGCTGGGGGGCAAAGCGGAAAGGCCGGAGAGGAGG